ATCCTAGTTGTAATATCGTGGTTCGTCGAACACATGATATCTGTGGCCGCGAACTCCCTCTCCTCGGAACATAGCAGGGAACCTCATGCCGACTGGCACTTGGTCTTCCGAGATGCGTTCTCCCTTACCTTCTGGTTGGCCAACGGCAAATTTACCAACCTGTGACATCATTAGTTAGCTTGAGCTATGTAATTAAGTTCAGGAATTGTTGATCATTTCTTACCTGTAGCTCGGTGTCGGTGATGGTCCCTCTGCTGACACGAGCATATCCGATCTTGCGGATGTTCTTGTACAGGATATATTCACACCAACGGTCCCAGTCGGTCGGGTCAATATCCTTCATTCCGCTTTGTTCGCTTACATACGTGTTGTAGTTACCTTCGAGAGGCTTGGTGACTAAATAACTGAGCAGTATCATGGGGCGGTTCGAGGAGCCCATGAGCTTCGACAGGTATTCCGATTGCAACCTCCGGTCCTCAGGGTCTTCCTCCTGTCCGGAATGGAAGACGACAACGTCGACCTGTTCGCCGTACATATCGAGGGTAGCGTGGATAGCAGGTGCGAGTTCACCGACGGGCGACGGAAGGAGATGATGAGTGGAGTTGAGGATAGGGAACTTCGAGAGTAGAGCACATCCCCAGGTATGCTTGTTGGGGCCGGGGCCGTAATCGACGTACATACCGAGATCTTCGGCGAGGAATTGAGTGGTATCTCGGTTACCCATGATAATTCTTTGGAGGTCGGACTCAAGCAGCCCCACGACGTCGAGCTCCAGCTCCTTAATTGCATCGCGCATACGTCTCTCAGACGACCACATGTCGTTGTCCAGAGAGAAGTGTACCGTCCAAATACCAGCAGTCATAACCTTCTCGTCCTTGTGGTAGGGGGTATAGTCGTTGGTGGGGAATCGCATGAATCCAACAGCGAATGAGAAGATCTGAAGAGCACCGAGGACATAGAAATAGTAGGTGCGTTGCTTGCGAGCGTTTACAACTGGCTTTCTATATTTGGCTGAAGAGGTGGTCTGGGAGACAGAAGACGAAAACACGCCGGCTCCTATCAGGAGCATCATCGATGTCATGACCCAGTCGGTACGTTCACGTACGAGAGGTCCACCAGGAACGAAGGCGTAGGCAACAATCCAGACATGGAAGAGGACCATGAAGTTGTAGACAAAGAAACCAAGTCCAAAGACGGTCGCAGGTGAATGTTTTACACCAGAGCTGATGAGGACGGGAGCAACAGCCATGACATAGACTGCAAGTATGAGACCGCCGTAGAATCCCAGCCAGTGGCTGTTGCCGGTCAAGAGGGCGGCACCAACGGATCCAAGACCAAATGCAGTCCAGCTTCCAGCCAGACGGGGGTATGTCACTCCTAGGTAAACACCGGCAGCCATGGCAAGCAGGGTAAGTGATCCATGCGGTACAGCAATCGGACCGCGGACGGGGAACCCTTCCCATACCCAAAGGATCATGGTGCTGGAGTCGGAAAGAAGGGAGTGCATAGCGAAGGTGAGTCCACCAAAGCCGAGAGCAGAAAGAAAGGAAGAGCCCTTGCGACCGTTAGACGAGGTCATGTAGTCTCCTGACACATAGTTTCTGCGAGATGGTCGAAGCATGGCGATTAAAGCTAGAACGAGGACAGTCTTGTTCCATCCACCGTTCTTTTCGTTAACAATGGGCCAAGCCGGGTTGTTGGTATGGCAAGCGTATTTCATCAAGCTCGAAGCAAGCAGGCCAACGGTCCATGCAGTCACTCTGGTTTCAAGACGACCAGGCTGGCTTCGTTCTCCGTAGAAGATGGCAGCCCAAGTCAAGCATCCCATTGCAACGGAGAAACCGACTAAGAAGAGTCGGTATGACGGGTATTGAACCTGGTAGGCAAGCAGACCAGAAAGAGACAACAGATGAAGAAGCTTGACGTTGCGCACGGCAAAGGAGCGGAACGCTGGCATGGCTAGGAGGAGAGGCGAGATGCTAACCATGACAAAGGCTTCGTAGCCAGATATACCCATGTTCCATAAGGGGAAGTCTAGATAGGGCGTCAGTTCAAATCCACGAGTGATAGTGATTATCAACTTACACCAGACGACAACTCCAAGAGAGGTCAAGGTAGACCAGAAGACGAACTATATAGACGTCAGATATGGTGTGGAAGATGAATTGACAGAGCTGCTTACTCCATTGTAGATATCGGCAGCAGCATCAAAGATCTCAATAAGGAAGAAGCGCTCGCCCAGAGGAACACCATGTCTAATAAGATATTAGCATCTTGACTAGAGGATAGAGAAGGGACAAAAAGGTAAAAAGGACGGATCATACTCTTTTTCGATAGCAGCGTCGGATTTACTCGTTCTGCAGTAAATAGTTCATGACCTTAGAAAAAACAAGAACACACATATCCAAATAGCCGTAAACATGGGCGTGGGACATAACATATAGTACAACTAAAAAGTCTACTTTGGAAGCCGCCTGACGTACCCTCTGCTAATCCCTTTAATGTCTTTCACTGTAATCTCGAAACCTTCAAAATCAAGAGCAGTAACAGCATCAAAAGCAACGTCGAATAGAATCAGGGCCCATTCGAAAAAGGCATAAGTTGTGTACGCTAGAAGTAGTTAGCAATGTGTCATGAAACAATCTCATTAGTATGATTGTAGAACTCACCTCCGGGAATTTTGTGCACCTTGTGCTGGATAAAGAAGTAGACCAGAGGTACAAGAGTTGCAAAGAACAGCCCAGCAAACATCCTTCGGTACTTAAGAGCTCGAGGATTTGGAGGGCTTAGGGCAAGACAGCCGAGCGTCCACGGCAGTGTAGCCACTAAGTACGCAATCATGAAGATATCATGCCATCCATGGTCATCCGTCGACGTCACATACGTCCATCCTCCGCAGGTTAATGTCCTGAAGATGCCTACGCCCAGCACAGCCTTGGGCAGTACCGAGTTCGGCCTCGCGGTGAGTATGTACCAGAGGAATACGAGCGCGAATCGAGGGCCGGAGGTAATAGCAATGAAGATCTGGAAGACTGAACGTTCCGGGTACCGGTCGCCTATGGTAGCTGAGACGGATGGGAACCATTCATCGGGGTATCCATAGTGTTCGTTCTGGACTATTTTGTGGTAGTGAAGCCAGAGGCCGACGACAAGAGCGCCTAGGAACGCAGCGTATCCGACAACAGTGTGTGACCATGATATCCATTTCCCGTTAAACTATAGCAGCCGTTTAGTTAGGACCTGATACTGAGGCAATGAAGATCTGCCGAGGGTACAGCTGGGGGGTGAAACGAACAGAAAAGACCGTGTCCCCGTCCTTGAACTTGGGGGCCATGGTCAAGGTGGTTTAGAGAGCTATAAGCGAGCGACGCGCAGGGAAGAAAGACATCAACACGTATTAATTAAAAGGAGGTCAATAAGAAGAGAATGCATCAAAACGAAGGAAAGAAGCGAAAGAGTCTGCTCCGGCTGGCGTCTCGTGAAGTTGCCGCGGCCCCTGAGGAGGATTTTGACGCGGAAGCGAGGGTCGGCGCTTATTAACTTTGATCCGCTAAAAAAAAGATAAACGGATGGAAAGATAAAAAGAAGATTGATATCAAAAAGAAAATAACCCCGGTAGAAGGAAAAAAGAGACTTCGACGAGGTTGAGGCTACCAAGGGAGAGCTGAGTCCGTGGTCGAGATGTCTGCGAGCGACAAAGCTCGCTATTACCTGGAGCAGCTTGTCCCTGAGCTCCGTGAATTCAAGAAGAAGAAGATCTTTACTGAGGTAGGTACACTACGGGCGGAACATTGGATGAAGGGCTACTAATAGAGATGTAGGAAGAAATAAGTTCTATAACGAAGAAGAGATCCGACTTTGAACACAGGATAAATGCCCGCGGCCCCTCGCCGGCAGACTACGCCCGGTATGCGGAGTACGAGATGAACCTGGATGCCCTGCGCAAGAAGAGGATCAAGCGACTAGGTGTCAAGGCGCCGATGCACACGGGACAGCGGCGAGTCTTCTTCATCCTCGATCGGGCGACAAGGAAGTTCCATGGTGACGTGAGCTTGTGGCAGCAGTATATCGACTATGCTCGCAAGCAAAAGGCGTATAAGAAGTTGGCCCAAATATTCACAAATGCACTACGGCTGCACCCGCGAGAGGTGGATTTATGGATCTATGCTGCCCAGCACTCGCTGCAAGATCATGGGGATATGATGCAAGCGAGGGGGTATATGCAGAGAGGATTACGGTTCTGTCAGTCTTCTCGACAGTTATGGCTTCAGTATGCGAAGCTGGAGATGATCTATATAGCAAAGATAGGTGCACGGCAGCGGATACTGGGACTGGATAAGGTAGAGGAGAGAGATGGTATTGATGAACAAAATGATGATGAAGGTGCAGATATGATGATGCTACCTCGCTTGACGGGGGAGGATATCAACTCTACACTTGAAGGAGACGAGCCAGACCAGAAGTCACTAGAGACACTCAATGCTACTCCAGCGCTGTCAGGAGCCATCCCTATTGCCGTGTTTAACGCGGCCATGAATCAGTTTGACAACGATGCCGGGTTTGCATACGACTTTTACCACATGCTGCTTGAGTTCGAAGAATGTGCCTGCCTGAGACGAGTGCTGGGCCACGTCGTTGACTCGCTCATAACAGCCCATCCGGCCAACGCCAAAGCCCAGGAGTGCCATATCAGGTACCCGGTAGCAGGCATAAATCCCTGTTCTCCCGAATTTCCACGAGCATTCTCACTCTCTCTCGGACGGTTGAAGAAACACATGAAAGATGACAATCCCGTCCTCGCCCAGCTTGCGCCGCCCGTTACCTCCTGGCTTCAGCGTCTGCTCGAAACCGAGAGCCTCGACCCAGCGCTGCAGAAGGTGATACAGGTGACGTTGAAGAGTGTAGGTCGGCAGATGGAGAGTTGCAGGATATCATAGACACAGCAGAGCCACCACCAGTATCAGTTTAAAAAAATGAGATACCACTTTTGTAATGTCAATTCACTCGTCTGATCTGCCTTTTCTGCTGCTCTTCTTGTTGCTGTGTTCCTTTTTCATCCGTATCCTCGCCTCATTTGCGGCTCTCTGTCTGTAATATCCGTTAGCCGTAGTCTTTTTGATAACCTTCGTAGTCTTCTCAGTATCAATAACGTACAACTTCTGGACCTTCTTTTTCTGCTCAGGCGAGGTTTCCCCGGGCACAGCAACCCTTCCGGCCTCTGCTATCATACTAGTCAGCTTGTCGAAGCAGGCATTGAGGTTCTGCGACTGCTTGCGGCTCTCGTCCGCCTGTATGACCAGTGCCTGCGAGTTCTCTGCGTAGTATCGAGACGACCGGATAGAGGGATGTAGTATCTTCGGCACCAGGGGCAGCAAGGCACTCATCGGCACTTTAATCGTCGCTTTCGAGTTGACTCTATGCCGTGTTGGTCAGCATCTCAGTGCGAGTCCATATCTGCTACCTGCGGGCGGGAGCCTTACTTGTTCACATTCTGGCCTCCAGGCCCGCTGGACCGGCTGAATGAAACCGCGCAGATGCTCCTGGGAATCGTCTCGGCCGTCAACTGCGCCAGCCATGTCCTCGCGGCCCTGAGCTCGTCGTCGCTGGCCGTGTGAGCCCTGCGCAGGCTCGCTGCAGCCGCCCACCGACCTCTCCAGGCCGTCTTCCACAGCTTCGCCAGCATCGTAGCCTCAAATCGACTCTGGCCAACCGTCGTCGCCAACGCCTTTCCTCCAAACCGCTGCCTCGACCTCTCTCATGGGCACTCTGGCGTCGCCCTGCCCACCGTCTAGACCGTGCTTAGTAACTAGCTAGTGAGCTCTCAAGCTCCCGCCCGTTCTCGAAGGATCTTCATTGGTCGCCGGCAAGGTCGAAGCTCCAAGGAAGCGCGCAGGGAAGAAACATCGGCTTTTCTCTCCTGCTGGCCCGGTGACGCTCTTCCGCACACACGAACGCAACTTGCATCTCAGCCATGCCTGCCAGAGGCTTCGTGCTCGAGGCGCTATCGGATCCTCTCGTCCAGACGTGCGTCCTCGATGGTTTATAGGTGGCGTTCGAGCCGCCTTCCTCGCTCTTAACGGTGGTCACAACACCCACGCACACACAAAACACACTCGAAGCGGGCGACGCAGAGACAGGAGCTGGGACAGGGACGAAGACAAAGAACAAGAACAAGATTGATAGATGAAAGGAGAGCCTGCTGTTTCAGATGGCCTCAGATCCGCCCGAAGAGGCGCTGCACTTCCGGGGCAAGACGCTGACGCCCGAGAGCCCGCGGCCGCTGCATATCGCGGAACCGTCGAATATACCCCTCCTGCAGAACCAGATGGACGCCTCCTACCATGATACCTCCGCCCTCGAGACCGTCCCGGAGGTCAAGGAACACACTTTAAATCCAGTGCTTGTTGAGCAGGGCCTCCAGCGGCCGGCGGTGGGCGACCAGATGCAGATGGTGGACCAGACATACGCGATGCTGCAGAGCGGGCTGGAGCAGATGAACGCGAGTGCTGCTGGCAGTGTTTCTGGAATAACAGGTAGTCTCCCTGGATCTAATGCAAAGACGGAGAGCATGCTATCAGAGAATGAATCGATACTCGCTTCTACTACTCGAGACGAGGTTTTGACGAATTCACTTTCATCTTCAGTGCCTCATCCAAATCCTACCGCTGAACCAGACCTGCAGCACCATCAAACCAACCCTGATACCGCTGCCCATACCCATATGGTGGGAACGGTAGAGAATAATAGCATTACAGCCGCCCATCTAGCTCCTACATACCCAGCTACTCAGGGCGTTGCTCCTCTATATGGCGCTTACCAGCACCAGCAGCAACCTCCGCCAGTACGGTCTACTCCTGCTACTGGTTACCCCTTAGCTTCGGCTCAGAACCCAGGTGATGTGAACTCTGATATCTCTCAGTCTTCTCTTCTCGATACGGCTGCTGCCTATCAGAGCATGCTTGGTAGCAACGTACCCTCGTCTGCATCATATATAACTACTGCTGTCACTACCGCTGCTGCTGCTGCTGCTGCTACCACTACTACTATGCCCACATCTGCAGCCCATGCTACAGAGCCCATCAGCCAGCCAGATCATACCCTCAGTGATATTGCCGTTTCCAACATGCCCATATCTTATGCATCCACTTATCCTTCTCGCCCACTTGCTACTAGTCATGAAAATGAGCCCATGCAAACAAGTCATCTTGACACAAGCCCTGACACCTCCCCATCTAAAGAAACCCTTCAAAGTGATAAACGTAATAATCTGCCCCAACGTTCAGCTGCCATGGATGCATCTGCAAGCCTATCTTCATCCCTTTCTAGCCCTGAGGTACTCCAGCAAGTACCACCGAAGTCTCATACAAGGAAAGTATCCAATACTTCACGGAAACGTGACAGTTATGATGAGAATATAGAGTCTACGAAGGGTGACCCACAAGAAGATACCCCCTGGGGACCTGATATCCAGAAAAAGTATGATGACTTCCTCCGTGATGAACGTATATATGTTACCGAGGCGCATTGGGATAGGTTTCCTGCTGGCTCCCGTCTGTTTATTGGTACGTTATCAGAACGCTCTTTTCTGAAACGTAAACACTAACGAGTGTAGGCAACCTACCAACTGAACGAGTAACTAAGCGTGATCTTTTTCATATATTCCATATGCATGGAAAGCTGGCTCAGATATCAATCAAACAAGCCTATGGCTTCATTCAGTTCCTCGAACCTGACTCGTGTCGCAAAGCACTACAGGCTCAGCAAGGTTCTACAATCAGAGGCCGAAAGATCCGTAAGTTCACTTCACATTCATTGCCTTTGTTCCTATTCTAACATTCAGTCAGACCTAGAAATATCCAAGCCTCAACGTGGTGCTCGCAACTCTGGTCCAACGGAGAACAGCGGACGTAAGCAGAGAAGGTCAAGGTCGCCAGAGTACGAAAGGAACAGAGAACCGCCACCTCGAGGTGGCCGTTCAGCTACGGACCGATATGATAGGGGTCCCGGAAGACTGGCAATCAGCGATTTCAGAGAAAAGGACCCACACCGGTACCGTGATAGAAGTTCACGATCTCCTTCACCCAGAGGCCCACGCCGAGACTCGTATCACTCCCGAGAACGCAGTTTTGATAGATATGATCCTCGAGAGAGGCGGCGGTCAAGGTCCCGATCACCTCGGCCTCGAAATGCACGCTATCGTAGCCCTAGTCCAAGGGACAAAGGGTATGACAGCGAATCTGACCTGCCAATTCCAAGGAGAGATCCGCGTAACGTCCCGGAGGTCCAGGTTATTGTTCTGGAAAATGCAGACAAGTTGGTCTACCCCCTTTACTCAGGTCTTTAGATGCCAACGCGCTAACCGGTTTACCAGTGAGTTTGTGTATCGAGTTGAGAACGCTTTCAGGGATCGTGGCCTTAGATGTGACGTTTTAATTCTAAGTCCTCGAATTCGATTGTCTGCTGTTGTTCGACGACAAGTAATGGAGGGTGTTCTTGCCATCGTTCGCATCTCTCGAGCGAATCAGTACTCGGGAAAGATACCGTTGCAGATATTTGACCGATCTGGTGGGATGGACAACGTACGGTTTAATGGTGAGTTACACATACTTTGTGCCCCCTTGTTCACTGTTACCCATAGATACTGATCACAATCATATAGAATACTCTGAACTTGATCTCAGCCTCGCTGCTGAAGTCGTTGTTCATGCACGTAATTCCCAGAAACCAAATCCGATACAGCTGCAGCCGCCACTTCTACCTGCCGTATTGCCTCCTCAACCCATACCACAACCAGTACCAGCACAGTCGGATCAAGCTGCAATTGCCAACCTCCTGTCAAACCTCGACAGTTCCACCCTTCATACACTACTTAGTTCCCTGAACCAGCAGCAACAGTTGCAAGCACAGCAAGCACAACAGCAAAACCGCCAGTTCCACTCTCTACCAGTACCTGTCACCGCGCCACCGCTAAATTCGACCAATCTCGCGGCACTCTTGGGTAACTTGACACGTCCGGGCAATGCCAACCCACCGTCTGTTCCAACCACAACTGCTCCAGGCACACATTTTGTGCCTCCTCCTAATCCAATCCCACATCCCAACACAAACTTAGCTTCACTTCTGCCAAAGGGCCCTAATCCAGGACAGAACGGCCCACTCCCCCAACCACAAGCCAATATGCAAGTACAGCAGATCATGGAGCAGCTAATGAAATGGAAACAATAACGAACATTGATCCCATTCTCCGCCCAAATTTTACTTTCTCTTCCTTCATCAGGGCATATACTTTTATGACACATGAGCGACATCTGATTTTGATTTCACTTTAACGAGTTCAGACTCTTCCTTCTTCTCTT